GCACAGGTGTCAACATCGTCAGAGAGACATCACTAACGTCAGCACTGTCACAGGTCTGACTTTCAACATCCTGTGTTTTTTTTTGTTTTTTTTTCATATAAAAAAGGTATGTCAAATATGTATTTATATATTTTTAATAACATGAATCTAAATCGAATTCATAGCTCACCGCAGCCTTTTCCAGTTCTGACGAAACAACTTCATTTTCGCGTGCATTATCGAAATTTGCTTCATCCTGTGATAGACAACAACCAACAACAGTAAATATAATGTATAAGAAAAATAGTTATCTAAAAGAAATATATAAGCAGCAGACATTTGGATCTATAAGAGACTTAATGAACGCTGAGATTATGTCTTCGCTGATACAAATTTTGGAAACTTGATATTTGGGCTCACTATTTGTGTTCAAATCCTTTTGCTTAACATTTATCTTGAACAACATTGACTTTTCATTCAGAATATTTAACTCATTTGGAAATTGATCCAAATCGGCACCCTAAAAAAAATGAAAAGGGAAAAAAAATTATTCTAAAAAAAAAAGAACAGAACATAGACAACGCAAACAGAGAGCACAAAACGACAAAAAATACATTTTAACCATAACACAACAATTAAAAAACAAACCCTCTTGAAATGGAGCTCGCGCAATTCAGCAGCACTCATTCCCAACAAAGACACACAGTCGCGATCAAACAGAATAAAGGATGCGGAATCTGTGTTATCCACAACTATGAACTGAACACTAAATCTGGAGTTTTGCGAAATTGTATATCAGCAACGTACATGAATGATACGGATTAAAGACAGGTTCTAAACTAAGAAGAATATTTTACCTCGGATAATAATCTTCCCAATGTTTTTGGCAGTTCTTACAATACCACTTCTCAAAATCCTCATAAACGGAAAATGGACACTTTTTGCATGACTTGTATCACCAGTTGTATTTGCTCTCAATTGCCTTTATAGTCCCGTATGTGATGCAGGTAGTTACCTTAATTAAAGCAATCGCAGTTTAACATAAAATATCATCAATACAAAATTGACAGAATTAAAGGAAAGTAAAAATTAAAGAAAAGTAAAAATAAAATTTGAACATTTACCTCAACACAAAGTTTCACATCACTGATAGACTTTTTTTCAGTCTCCTTAAGAAAATCATTTTCGAAAGAATAGGATGACTGAGTAGACAATTGAGTCATCCTTGTACTATTTTCCACACTATCAATCGAGAGACTATAACGCAAAAATTAATAATTAAAAAATCAAAAAAATATGAAAATCCATTAATCAATAATCGAATAAATGAGCTGAAGAAAGAAGGTACACACCGTTTTTTGAACTCAACAATCTCATTCAGTTTTGAATCCATTACAATCCTTGTTGTATATTTTGTATTTGTTATCCCGACCTTACCTATTGAGTTAAAAGGTTCAGATAAACATTGAATACAGAAGCAAAATTAATTAAAATAACGTGCATAAAAACTGATTATAAAAGCAAAAATGAAAACAACGTTGTTTGGAAAAAAACATACCTCTAAAACACTTAATCCTTCCCAGTTGGACTATCAGGACGTTATGAGGATCGTCGTTGTCTGCCAAAAAAGATTGGACCTCATCCACATAATGCTCCCACAAAGTGCACTCCAACTTATGACCCCTACACATGAGTTGCAGCAAGCACAACGTTAATACGCGCAAAATATAAGCTAACAGAGCTGGACAAAAATAATTCATTTAACTAAACATTTGTAAGTACCTCAGGTCGTCAAGCTCCAACACCACCATTTTTGTCTTCCTACCAGAAACCACACGATCACAAACTTTCCCAATTCCTGAGATTAAACCAATGACGTCTACAAAAAAAAAACGCAGCAAAGAGTTTGTGAAAAAAATTATGCAATAATAAAAAACGAATACAAAAACATAAAAAAACACAGTTAATGAAAAAAATAATGATACAAAATAAGATTACTCGTGACAAAACATTAAAAACACAAAACTATAACCGCAAAGAGTTTAAAAATAAGGAAATAGTCATGATACAGAATAAACCAATGACGTTTAAAAATTAAAAAAAGGCAGCAAAGAGTATGGGAAAAAAATAAAACCCGCAATAATTAAAAAAAGGATAACATTGAGGAAGAATCTATTACCGACTAAATAAGGGGAGTCAGACGTTTCTTTCTCAATGATGTCATAATCAACAAAATCAAAATCACTCGCACAAATATCAGAAACAACAATCGATTTAACATCAGTCCTCAAGTTGAAAGACAAACGATACTGATGCTTGGTTGGCCTAAACACATCGCTATTGAATCCAACTCCAAATTTTTTTATAAAATAGCACTCTCCTTCGTTGATTTTATTCCGCACCAGCAAGGTACCTTGGACAGTGGCGTGGATCCTACCACCCTACAAAAGAATGGAGCCAACTTATGTCAACAACGTTAACTAAAATGATCAAAACAAAGATGGAAGATTTTTAAAACACAGAACACAACATGTTCATCCAATAAAACCATTTCAAGATTGTCCTCCAAATTTTTACGCTGAAAGTTAGGAACTTTCCAAGTCCGAACCACCTTCACCTTAATCCTCCAGTCCTCCTTGGCAGGATTAACATCCTTCAGAAAATCATATTTTGAACTCATATTTTGTGTAAGAAGAAAAAACAGAGAAGTAATCACCGACGTTGAAGAATAATGCGTATCAGGAATTGTATAAATGAGAGTGATTTATAGTTTTTGAATTGTCTTCTTTAAAAAATGTGAAGTTTTTGAATTAACCTGAATAAAGATTTAAAAAACAAAGATAACGACAAAAGAGTGATTCAGTAGTTATAAATGAGATTTTCATGAAATAAAACAGTCATTTGTTTTAATAAAATGAATATCCCATTTTTTTTCAAAAACGTAAAGATTTGAATTAAACTCAATAAAGGTTAAAAAAAACGATTAGATTACATGATAACCATCAATTATTTAAAAAACAAAGATGACGACAAAAGAGTGATTCAGTAGTTATAAATGAGATTTTCATGGAATAAAACAGAAGTGTTTTCTAATAATAAAACAGAAGTTTCGAGTAAATAGAATTGTATTCTTTAAAAAATGTGAAGTTTTTGAATTAAACTGAAAAAAATGTATCAAAACTGTATTCTTGACCATTGATTTAAAGTAACAAATCCTGTCAATTGAAAATATAATTCTTTTTTGTATTTATTATATTCACTGATTTACCATTAAAGGAAACTTTTTTAAATGTTGTAGTGTGAACACATTGGTGAAATTGAACCACAGTGCGACACGTCAGCAAGGTTTCCACAGAATGGAATTCCTTTATAATATAAGATATAAGATGTTGCATTTTCTCGGTTAAAAATTAAAATCAGATTTAATAATTTAATAATAAAAGAAGAAGAATGAAATTTTAATTTAATTATACAAATGTTTGGTAGGTAGTTTGCCACATATAACTATTAGCATGTAATATGTTTTTATATTTATTCACAAAAAGGCTCTTATTCACAATAAATAATAAATAGTCATTTTTTGTAAGGATTTGTGTCGTTAATATTTGAAATTTTATAAATTTGTATTTACATCCTCATTGAAATTTCTCTTTCCTTCCACAATTAAAATTTTAAAGGATTATGAGCTGTGTCCCAATAAAGATGAGAACAGATCTAAACCATTGCTTTTGGATAGCAAATCGTGGCCATCAATTTTTAGTGCAGATTATAATTTTTTTTTTGAATTTTTTTATTCCCTGAATTATCAAAAAAGGAAACTTTTTGAACTGTGTAGTGTGAAAGCAAACACGTGTTAGAAGAAGAAGCAGCCACGTGTCAGAAGTTGCCAAAGAATGGCTATGTCTTAGAATATAAGAAGATTACTTTTTTTTAAATAAATAAAAGACCTTTTGTCTTTTTCCATTATTATGAGTCTTTCCCATTTCGTCATTTTCCGTGTAAACCTTCCTTCTTTTAAAATGTTGCATTTTCTCGGTTAAAAATTAAAATCAGATTTAATAATTTAATAATAAAAGAAGAAGAATGAAATTTTAATTTAATTATAAAAATGTTTGGTAGGCAGTTTGTCACATATAACTATTAGCATGTAATAGGTTTTTATATTTATTCACAAAAAAAGGCTCTTATTCGCAATAAATAATAAATAGTCATTTTTTGTAAGGATTTGCGTCGTTAATATTTGAAATTTTATAAATTTGTATTTACATCCTCATTGAAATTTCTCTTTCCTCCCACAATTAAAATTTTAAAGGATTATGAGCTGTGTCCCAATAAAGATGAGAACAGATCTAAACCATTGCTTTTGGATAGCAAATCGTGGCCATCAATTTTTAGTGCAGATTATAATTTTTTTTTGAATTTTTTTATTCCCTGAATTATCAAAAAAGGAAACTTTTTGAACTGTGTAGTGTGAAAGCAAACACGTGTCAGAAGGAGAAGCAGCCACGTGTCAAAAGTTGCCAAAGAATGGCTTTGTCTTAGAATATAAGATTAATATTTGTTGTATTGGGCCAAGCTCATTAGGACAAGAATTAGGTTTTTTAGTCTCTTTTGTATCATGTTAATACACAATTCAAGTTATCTTTTTTTTTTTTTGGAGTTACCTAACCTAATTATCTCTTTGAGACGAGTTGGCTCCCTCCGGTATCTCCACGAGCTTCGACTCTTTGAGCCGGCTATGAGACTAATCCGGAGTGCGGGGGAACAGTGATGGCTAAAGGTTCAGCCCCCTCCCCAAGAATGCATTCCGCGGGAATCGAACACATATCCAACCCTACTAACTCAGCGCCAAGTTACCAACTGAGCTGCACCATTGGGTACAATTCAAGTTATCTATACAAGAGATCTTATTGCATCAATTTATATTTTATTTTTTGATGAATCACACGGTTCACGTATTGTTGTCCAAAATAAAAATTGAAAAATATGGAGCGTGCGCATGTGTGAGGGAGAACGAAAGATAGATCGAGGAACCTAGTTGAGTTGAGAAGCCGAATCCAAATTTGAAATAACCAACAACGACTTTGCGTTTAGGATTGACCCCTTCTTCACCAGCAAAATTTCTAGGTTTTCTCTTCTTCTTCCCTATCACACAAAAATCTCAATTCTAATTTAGTTTCGGTTCTGACCCACCGATCAATCCCTCTTCTTTTTATGGAGGCAGGGTTCCGTTTTTTTTTTTTTTTTTTTTCGTGTCGGTTTTGTTCAATTTGATGCATGTTTAGCTTTTAAGTTCAGCTTCTTCTTCTTCTTCTTCTTCTTCTTCTTTAATTAGGGTTTGGTAATGGATAGTGTGGAACACATGAATGTTTGAATTTTATCTGCGTCATAGTTGTGGAGGCGATGGGTTTTCTTTTTATTTTTGGGGCTTTTGCAGCATATTATAATAAATGCGAATAAAATGCTATTTTGGGATAAATGGAGCTTATACAGATGCATAATGTATGGTGATTCCTTTAATGTCTTTATAGTAGTTTTTGATTGGACAAATATTTATATGCTTCTCTTTTTGTTGTCTTTGGTGGTGAAGATTTTTTGCAGAATTATTATATCCGCGTGATTCCTGCTTTGCTGGTGTAGTGAGTGATGGGAAAACGTGTCTTAAGAGAGAACTTTCAACCCCAGACTTGTTCTGGGAAGAGAGCAAAAAAAACTGTTCAGGGGAAAGGGAATTTAAAAAATACTGTTTTCATTGACGTAGACAGTTATCAGGGTGATGATGTGATAATCATAGATTTGTCTGAGTTTGGGCCACAATTTCATGGGTCCAGTGTGCCAAGTAGAGACAGAACATATACGCCTCAGAGGGTTATCAGCATTGATGACGATGATGATGACGCCGATGATGAAAGTGGTGATGATGATGAAAGTGATGCTGCAACCCATCGTGGAATCATTTCTGAAGGAGTTGGGGATTTGGACAGCGATGCCTCCTCAAGCATAAAGTTATCTCCTGCCCCAAGCTGTATGCAAAATTCTGTACACGTAGATGTAGATGATGGTCATGTCAATGAAAAGGATTCTACAAAGGATACTGGCAGAAATCGATATGGTTTAGATGGGTCTGAAAGTGAGTCACCGGAGAGTGATTGTTCTGATTGTGAACTCATGGATCGTGAACAGTGGGAAAAGGTTTTGTTTGAGAGAAAGCACCATGTGTTTAATGATCAATCTTGTTATGATGAACATGCCAGTTCTTCTGGTGTCCATAGCAATATTTACGCTGATGTCGAAGTAGAAAATATGAACGAACAGCATGCAGGAAACCCTGTATATTCTGGTCCCAGCAATGGTGAATATGTCAAGGAGAATCAATCTTCCTTCTCTGTTAAGGGTGATGGTCAAGTGGATGACATTAATTTTAATCTTGGGACAGAAAATTCTTTCAAGGATTCTGATCAGCAAGTTAGGCAGGACAGTTTCAAATCTCCTGGGTCTGAATCCATAGAGGAAATGCAATCTTTGCGTCAAGGTTGTGATATTGAGCATGGAGAAAGGACAAGAGGTGAAGAATTGGATGGTAAAGAGTCTGAATGTATTGGCATGAGCCAAGAAGTACGTGAAAGGCAAGTTGACAACAATGGATCTGCATTTATGAGCAAAGATGACAATTTAGCTGAAGTGAATTTTAACTGTAGCTCTTTTGATGAAAGACATGTCAATTGTGATAGGCTTGTGTTACATGCTCAAGATGGTAATCTTACTGCTTCAAATGAGAGAGATATAATTAACAAAAGAGAAAAGCTTAAGGAGACTGATGAATATAAACAAACCATAGAAGCAGAATGGGCATCCAGGCAGAAGCAATTGCAAATTCAGGTGATACATTCATGCCACTATTTAAATATTTATGCCCTTGACTGTCTTGGCTCTTCAAACGTGTTCAGTGGTCTTGCAAGTTGAAGAGGGGCCAATTGGTGTGTAAATGCCAATTCCCTTATAGATGTCTGTTTTTTTGTTTAGATCTATCTTTTCATTTTAAGCCTTTATAGTGTTTGGACTTTGGATAATTACTGGCAGTGCTGTTAAACAACCTGCATCATTCTTGTATGTTATGGTTTCTTGTATATTGTCATTATCAGCCATGAATTTGTGTCACGTCTACCAGTGCCTATGGAGTTCAATTTCTTAGTCAAAAGTGCTTTCTAAACATTGGATGTTGCTCGCCTAATTGCTTTATTCTTGGTTTTATACATGCTGCTTCTTTTTTTGGGAAACTTACTGTTATGATGTTAAATTTACTCCTTGAACTGAGATTATCCATACTTTTGCTTTTACAGGCAGAGGAAGCACAGAGATTACGCAAAAGAAGAAGGGCTGAAAATGAGCGCTTACTGGACATGCAAAGAAGGCAAAAAAAACGCATTGAAGAAGTGAGAGAGACACAAAAGAAGGTTGCAATTATGTCTTTAACTTACACTAAAAGTGTTTCTTATGCTAATTTTCCTTCATGTATATCTATTATTATTCGTTACATTATAGAATTTTCTTTTCTTTTTATTATGTTTGGCCATTTGAATGCCTGCTTTCATGCTTAGTGTGGACATGATTTGAAAGTTTGTAGTAACTGATTATTTCTGTCAATCTGACAAATAAAAAATTCAGGATGAAGAATTTATGAACATGAAAGAGAAACTGCGGATCGAAATACAGAAGGGGCTTAATGAATTGGAGAGGCAATGCCATGATATGACATCACTGCTTCGTGGCTTAGGAATACCTGTGGGAGGAAGTTTAATCCCGTTGCCCAATGAGGCAAGTTGTGTTTATCTATTATTTTCCAATAATATCTCATCTTCTACCTCACTTTATATTTTAGATTCTGCATTTGTTTGACTGCTATGTTACAATGTTTTTAATTAGTTAGTATATTTATACATTATTTAAGATGTACTTACTTTGTTTACCAAAAAAAAAGATGTACTTACTTAAACCTCTCGGTAGATTTTAAGATTTTGATAGCTAATAAAAATTTCTATGAAAAACTAATCAGCTAATACTCCTTTGACAATAGTTGTACAAAAATTCTAACCTTTTGGCAAGTTCCATGATTGCATCCATTACCTTTGCCAATGCTTTGGAGGCTATTACAACTAAACAGGGGTCCTTTGACCACTTTTGTACAAAAATCCTTTGATCACAACTTGTTATATATAAAACCATTAATGTTTGTCACACAATAGTTTAAGATTTCGTGATTGTTGGTTCATAACATGGTATGAGAGTGTCTATGACTAGTAATGTAAACAAGTCGAGAAAAGATGAGCACTTGAAGCTCAAGCTTGGCTTGCGAAAGGAAAAAGATGATGCTCAAGCTTGACTCATTTATTTAAATGAGTAAAATTTGAAGTTTGGGTAAATGAGTAATTTGAAGTTTGGGCTTGACTTGCTTAAAATATGAAGCTTGAGCTTGGCCCATTTATATAATCGAGCCTATAGTTAAGCTTGAGCTTGTATGTTTAGTAAACTAAGCAAGCTTGATTGAGCATTTAATGGGTCGAGTTCGAATAGCTCACAAATAGCTCAACTCATTTACACTGCTATCTATGACCGTGTAGTCTAGAGTTGTCCTCATTCTTCTAAATAAAAAGTTAAATTTTAGTATAAGGTAGGGTGGGCTTATACATTGTCTATGTCTCGAGCCCAAATGACTTTTGCATGAGGGGGCATATTAGATATAAAACTATGGGAAAAATTACTCTCATGTTGTTGGAGATAAGTTCTCTTTTTTACAGATCCATTGATTTTCGTGTTGCTCTCTCTCTCTCTCTCTCTTTTTTTAGTGAGTGGGCCCCATCACATAATTGTATCTATGGTAGGAGAGAAGGTGTCTTATGTAACATGAGATTAATAAAGCCCTAAAACTATTCATGTGCCTTCACCAATTGTATCTATGATTGGAATAGCTGGTTCATGACACAACTGTTCCATTCCCTAATCTTTCATGTTTTGAATTAAGGGCCTGTATTTAACATCTTTATCCATTAAAGAAACTACTTTAGGCCTCTCTAAAAAAGATTTTAAGAGCTCAATGCAAATTGAGAAAGGGGAGGGGGAGGTGAATGAGTGATGATGGTATTGTAAACTCTGATGCTTACTAGCGCGCCCGCCTTAAAGAAAAAGAAACAATTCCTAATAGAAACATAGAGCGGAGTAAAGAACCAGCAACTTGGAATTTCATTTATATTTTAAGCTTCATTAATCTAACTAGTTCTGGGGCAACAAAGCATTGCTAGTGCTCTGTGTTGTCATTAGATGGGTTGTGGGCTTATTGGGCCCAAGCCCATTTATGTCAGTGGCTAAGTTGGACCTAATGGGTCACACACAAACACCTAATTGTCTAGATGTTCTAGCATTAAAGGTATTGGGCCTAATAATAGTTATTAGCCCAAGAAGTTGTTTGGAACTCCACCTAAAGGGGTGGAGGGCGCATGGATCATTGTAATGGGCTTGGATAGTCCAAGACATTACTAATTAATTTAATTAGTTAAATTAATTATCAAACATTTAAATTTTGAAATTTGAAATTTGAAATTTGAATTTCGAAATTCGAATTTTGAATTTGAAATTTGAATTTTGAATTCGAACATTTGAAATTTGAATTTTGAAATTCGAAATTTGAACTTTGAATTTGAATTTTGAATTTGAATGTTTGAACATTGGAATTTGAATATTTGAATGTTTGAATTCAAATATTTGAATTCGAATTTGAATTGCCTATGAAAGGTTGTTTCATAACTAAAGGATAAGATGAGATCTTGTTGGAACAAATCACTAGTATCATGAGAATCTTTTGGACATAATCCAAGGCTATATATGGCGCTGATTTGGGCTGTTGGTGAGCAAGATTTGCTCATCAAAATCAGCTCCAGAAGATTCAGTCAGTTGGGAGAAAATCTGAGTGAGTTGATTCAAATTTGAATGCAACTACTCAGATGTATCTGGTCACCTTTTTGGGCTATATGGGGCGCACCATATAGCTGATCTTATGAAGATTTCTGATCAGAATTTTGAATAGGTTTTGAACCAATTCTCAAGAGAATATTCCAGGAGCCTGTTAGCAATTTTTGAAATTAAACAGCTCCACTTCTCTCTCTCCAATCTGGCGCCTAATCGAAAAATCTGATTAGTATTTTATTTTAAATACTCTCCTCTTATGCACCTAAGTGATAAGTTGCCGCCTTAAAGAAAAAGAAACAATTCCTAATAGAAACATAGAGCGGAGTAAAGAACCAGCAACTTGGAATTTCATTTATATTTTAAGCTTCATTTTTCCACATTTACTTTTAAGTAGTTATATTTGAGATCCCAAATTCCTCAACATCTTTAACATCAGATGTCCTTCCCTTCTCAAGATTGAGTTCATTTTTAATTCTAAAATTGATTTGTCAGCTAGTTGTGGTTCTGATCTATCCAGAGCCTTCGGTTCCGTGTTTCATGCTAATGTTTTGTTTATGTTGATGTTCATTTCAGGTGCACGCTGCATATAAACGGGCCTTGTTAAAGTTTCATCCAGATCGTGCATCCAAAACTGACATTCAACAGCAGGTTGAAGCCGAGGAGAAGTTCAAGCTCATCTCTCGCATGAAGGAGAAGTTTTTGTTGACTTCTTGTCACTAAATGCTAACAACTGAATGGGTGCGGTGGTTGGTATTTTGATTCAAGTGACTTTGTCTGCTAGCTTTGTGTTTGTCTTAGTTTTTAATTGTTTTCGTTAGTCCCCCAAATTTTATAGACGAGAAATTGACAAGAATATGTAAAGATGTTCTCTTTTTTAAAATGCCAATTTTGGGGGATGGATAGTAATTACTATCCACCAATTACTATCCACCCGCTTCATATTTGATATTGGGTATATGTTAAGGTCACTTTAAAGAGCATAAGGGCTTTGCAGCATTCAGTGAAACAAAGTCAACATGTGTTTAGCCTATGTTGGTAAATTGGCTTTTAAGGCTACAAACCGAGTATGTTACAAGCTTCCGATCCAAGTCTTTGCTTGCTGTCCTCACACATGGCATAAGAAAATTAGCTTGTAGTGTTGTTTTACCCCTCCTATCGGGCTTCGATTAAGCTTATGTAAATTTCAATGACCTTATTATATCTATTGTTAGAGGTGGTGGCCTCGGATTTTCTAATTGACACAGACTATAGTAACTAGTGAGGGCTTCTGCTGTGGTGCAATTCCAACTGAACCCGAAGTCCCAATCCAATTATTGTCTTGACGTTTGTTAGGAGGTATTTTTTAAGATTTTTGAAAAACTGAGTGGTAATCATATTTATTTACGTTTGGTACAAGTTTTTTAAAAATTTGCTGGGAATTTAATTTTTTTCGAGATTTTATTTTGTGTGTAATTTTTTTTTTGAAAATACCATTCAAGGAGTGGTATTTTAGGATTTTTATGACAAGGGAAAATTTAATACAACTAAACATAACATTAACAAAATTAATCCAATATTCTCAGGAATATTTTAGTTTACCAAACATCTTTTTGGTAATATTTTCAGAAAATTCATCTTCCCATCATATTTCCAGGGATTGTGATTCTCGGATAAAAAAAAAATTCTCTTCTACCAAATGCTCCCTTACAGTCATGTTCTTGTGATAGGAATCTTGTAATAAACATTTATGTTTATGTTTGCTTCTCTCGACTATATGCATGTAAGATATCAGTATTGAACTCCTTATTGAAGCGCAATGTGACCTGGTGTGTGGACAAAGGTAGGGAAGAGTGAATATATAGCATTGGAGTTTCGAAAGAGCAAGCTGAGTACATCGATGGCAGAATTGAAAACCAACTTGCTTGAGGTACAACGCCTCAATGTTGATACTCAAAGTTGGTAGATTTGTTAAGGCTTCCTTTTGAAGTCAACTACTGGAATACATAATCTTAAAAGATGGATAAATGTGCAGTATCGTATTGGAAAATGAAAATTTAAGATAGAAGTTATACATTTGGTATACTTACGATGTCTCTATACAATCCTATAAGCAAATTTTTTTTTTTTGAAATATTCCGATCGATTTATTGTTTTACGACTAGTTCAATTCGGAGCTGATCCCAACATTAAGGTTTTAAATCCCTTTCGAAGACAGTATTGAGGAGGATCAAACACATACTCTTACCTCCACCTACTCAGTTTTTCGATATCAACTTATCTACCATCATTAGAAGCATATTCTTTTGGTATGGTTAGTTATAGTACACTTTCGTGTTTGGTCCATGAAAGTTGAGGCAAGCAGCCACTCACGCTAGTGTTTTATGTTCATACTATGTGTTTTTTGTTGTTGTTTTTTTTTTTTTTGGGAAAAATGTAAATATATATTAACCCAAAGAGATACAATATAGCTGGGGCATACCCCGCAAATCAAAAAAATAATAAGAGTCAACAAATGGGCCTAGTGCAGAAGCCACTGTAAGCTACACCACTAAGAACATATGTCTAATACAAGTGGGTTAGATGTGAATGTCTATACACAAGAAACTGAATCTTGTCAATAACATCATTTACAAAAAACGATTTGTGATCAAAAAGAGCACTATTCCTGCCTAGCCAAATACAATATACGGTAGTAGCCAAAGCCAAGCATCTTTGCTTGCCTATGATGCCCGAGACAGCTCTGCAATGTATAAGCTTGTTGATTGTGCCTTGAAGTGAAATGTTTCTCTTTGAAAAAAGACTCCAATCTCTAATTACCGACCAGACCTGTAACACAAGTGGGCAAGAGAAAAATAAATGACTATTTGTCTCCATTTCAGATTTACATAGAAAACAAGTCTGGCCTTTGTTCAAGTAAGGAGCCTTGTCAAGTGTTAGCAATCTATTATTCACAGCTAACCAAAAAATGAAGCTCATCCTTGGAGGAATTGAGGCGTTCCAAACGACATGATTCCAAGGAACTTTGGGGTTCTGCTTCCTGAAATATGCATATGCTTTGCTAGCACAGATTTTATCTCTCTGAACCCAAGATAGCAGCATAGTAACAGCGTTACCTTGACTGTTTTCTTTGGAAATGATGGTGTCCCGAATGTGGTAAATTCTCTTCATGAAGACTAAATCCGATGGGGAGGCAACACGATCCCAAATGCTTTGATTTTTGAAATAATAATGGTGGATCCACTTCACCCAAAGGGAATCCTTCTTCGTATGAAAATCCCAAAGATTTCTAGTAAACAAAGCATTATTCCAAGTCTTGAGACAGAAAAGACCCAAGCCTCCTTCCTCCTTGGGGGAGCAAACAGCCGACCAGGCAACAAGTGGCTTTTTCTTTCCCTCATCTGCCTTGCCCCACAAAAAGTTTCTACAAGATGCATTAATACGATGAATGACTGAAACAGGTAGTGGAAAAATTCCCAACCAAAAGTTTGCAATCCCTTGAATAACAGCTCTAACAAGCTCCAATCTGCCAGCATAGGACAATGTCTTCCTATTCCAGCCTTGAATTAGCGCTGTAATTTGTGCAATCAGTGGGTCATAGTGGCAAACATTTAATCTAGAAGCCAATAAAGGAACCCCCAAAAATCTGAAAGGGAAGACACCAAGTGGGAAACCCGTAAGATTGAGAATCATATCCACAAAATGTTGCTTGACCCCAGCCGAATAAAAAGCAGATTTGTCACTGCTGACCTGCAACCCAGAAACACTGCAAAAGTGTTGTAGTTTTGAGAACAAAGCCGTGATAGAGGGAAGGTCACCTCTAGAAAGCAAGATAATATCATCAGCATAAGCAAGATGGGAGATCTTCAATTCTGCATAAGCTGGGTGGAATTTAAAGGAGTTGTCCTCACCCAAAGAAAGCAGGTCCCTCGAAAGGTATTCTAAACATAGCACAAAAAAGTATGGGGATAAGGGGTCCCCCTGTCTCAACCCCCTATTACCTTTGAACATACCATGGATAGAACCGTTAACTGCAATGCTAAACGAGGTGGATGAAACACACTCCATAATCAAGGCAGTGAACCAGTTGGGAAAGCCAAGCTCCGTGAGCATCCACTGCAAAAAGTCCCAGGAAATGGAATCATAGGCTTTGTGTAAATCAATTTTCAATAAACATCTAGGAGATACCCTTTTCCTAGCATATTTCCGAACGAGCTCTTGAACCAGAAATATATTATCATTCATGCTCCTATCCTTTAAGAAAGCAGATTGAAAGGAACCAACTATGTTTTCCAAGACAGGAGCAATTCTTTTGGCAAGAATTTTAGAAATAATCTTGTAAATTACATTGCAGCATGAAATAGGCCTAAAGTGATTGACCATAGAGGCAATTTCAGTCTTTGGTATCAAAGCAATGATCGCATGATTCACATGCTTTAACAGTTTACCTGATGTAAAAAATTCCAAAACGGCTGCATGAATGTCCTCACCAATGATACTCCAAGAATCCTTAAAAAACTTGGCATTATACCCATCAGGACCACGAGACTTATTATCATCAAAATTGTTGTTGTTGCTGCTACACTAGGTTTTTTTTAGATATAGGGTGTTATAACTGATAATCACAGAAATTGTAGACTCTGATGATCATCTTCATACGAGGGATAAGGAAAATTCCTCTTTGGGCTTTGACTTTGGATTCAATGTTTTACCGATTTATGTTTCTCGGACTAAAAATAAAATAAAAATTATTTTTTAGAATATTATCATGCATACCGTTAATATTTTTCACAGCCACAAATTGACTCAAATTTGGGTGTATTATTATTATTTTTTATTTTGTGTTCTTGGGGGTGGTAAGCACAAGGCCTGAAATGACTCTACTTGAATATAATTGTCGTACCAGTGTGAAATACACTTTGGATACTTTTTGCATACATCTTTTAATTATCATTTTATTTTTGGTAGGGTATTTTAATTATTTTTTAAATCTTTGTACTAATACAAAAAATGTATTATAATGATTTAAAAGTTGATATTATTTTATGATCTTTACAATGACTATTATATTGTATATTATTATTAATATTTTAATACAAGATTTAATTTCTTATGTTAATATTGTATATCATATTTCAGTTATGTCACTAGTTGTAGAAGTTGGACGGTGAAAGTGTTTGTCTGAGAGATTTAGTTCTATTAAATGATTTATATACTGATTAGGACTAATGCAAGCATACTACCAATTGAACTATTATTCTTTGTATAATTAGAAGGTAGTGCTTATTATTTTATTGACAATGACATTAACTAAAGTAAATTGCTTGGAGGTCACGGATTTAATGGGAAGTGGTGGATATTAACTAAGTTTGTTTTTGGAATTTATTTTCCGTATATAACAGCAAGTGGCCTTCTAGATTAAGTATTGCAACATGTCAAGATTAGTACTGCGATGCTCTCCGTGTGGACCAGTCCAAACAAGAAAATTAGAAAATCAATAGTGAAGGACTCTGAGAAGGAACCAGCTACACTAATTCAATTAATATCCACATCAAATGCATGCAAAGTCAAACACATGCCCTCAACACTGAGAAATTTTGGTTTAACTATTCTTTTTTTTTAAAATAAAAATATGAAAAGAAGTTCTCTTTCTTATTTTTTATATTTGGTCAAAGTTTTTATTATCTTTTCATATATTAATTTAAGTTAAAATAATTTCTCTAGTTAAGTTCTACATTACTTAAGAAGTAATTTCAACCATTACAAAGTTAAAAATTCAAATTTGAAGTTAACGTCGGAGGAGGTGGAGCTCTGCTAGGGTTTCCTAGTATTTTTAGGGTTTTTTGTACGTTCTTAGCATGCAACCGTCAATTGTTCGAGAATTAACGTCGGAGGAGGTGTATAATCTTCAAAGAAGTAACAAAAAATACAAGGGTGATGGATCCTTTTCAAATAATCTTTCAAGGGTTTCTAGAGATGAAAAATGGATGGATGGTCAATCAAGCTTTTAGGAGATTCTTATGAGAAGTAATGGAGAATAGAGGTCAGAAAACGATTCTGAAGAGGAGGATGAAGCTGAGATGACATTGCAGGATGGGGATATAGATGCACGAAATAAGGCTCTATCTTTGGAGGATGTCACTTTGGAGGTTCGAAAGGATGGATCTCCGAACTTCAAGCTATCGGACAGATTCAAAAAGAAAGCTTGGAAACCATGGAAGAAATTGCTGATTGTC